GATCCAGATGGCAATGCATACCCAAAGACTCTGTAGACTCATGATAACTCATAACCTTGTCATGACCCTTTAAAGCCTGGAAACAAATTATTTTAGTAAGGAGTCATGGGGGGAAAAAGAAGACAAATAGAAGGTGTTTGTTACCTTTCACTTTCAAGGCCCTCCTACAATGATAGAGGGAAAAAACTGCAAAGGCATAAACAACAAAAACAAAAAATAAAACAGGTGATATCAAGGGATTTTTTTTCATGTTTTTCAAATGGAAAGTAGATGAAGACAGGAGATTGATTTAGCAAAGGAGAAGGGGCTGCTGCTCTTGAGAGGAGATATGGATGAAAGGAGAGCCCATTAACCCTGCCTGAGTGGAGGCCTGGAGAGAGAAGACACGAGGCAGGGGAAGGAGGCTTTGCAGGCAGAATGGGGTTGGGTTGAGGGTTTCCATCCAGGAATCCAGGAATGAGCAATGGAGCAGCCTGGCAGCAACTTTGCAGGCTGCAGGAGGCTGATTTGGCCCTCTCCTGAAGGCCAATCTAGAGCAAACAGTTTGAAAATATTATGAATACATGAAATTGAAGAAAAAAATTCCCTGATGATTCAGGTGATTAAACACTAGAGTAGGCTTTCAAAATAATTTACAGGCCTGAAGTTAGAACCTTATTCAAGTGTTCTTTGTGGCATCCTTTTTGGAAACTGATGGTTGAACTAGGTTTGTTCATTCATTAATTTGACAAACAAAAAAAAAAGAAAGGCATCAGATACCAAATCCACTTCTTATCTGTGATGCTTCTAGGATTACAGGGCATTAGGGGCAGTGAGGACTGGACAGTGAATGATCTGATTATAAACCATAAAATACCAAGATCCACGATATTTCTTTATGGTCTTTCATTTGCTCAGAGTGAAGCAGAAATAAAGAGAAGAAGAAGTCTGTGATATATTCTTTGTTTGTAGTTTGAGCTTATCTCTGACAGGGAACTAAAGAAATCAATTTAAAGAAATTAAGTGATCATTAATAAAATTATTCAATGCAAGTAGCATTCCTGCAACCTGCTTCTCAGAGACAATCATGACAAGCTAAATGCCCCACACTTCATTCAGTTTATCCACCATTTCTCACAGGTGTCAATTTATGATGTCACCACTTATTCTCCTATCATTGAGTTCCTCTGGCCCACCCATCAGGATTCCACCCCTACCTCCCGATCACAAACTTTTCTGACAAAATCATCATGCCATTATTCTCTCAATTGCCAAATGCAAGGAACTTTTCTGAGTCTCTGTACTAGTCTACTCTCACATTGCTTTAAAGATACTACCTGAGACTGAGTAATTTAACAAAAAGAGGTTTAATTGACTCACAGTTACACATGGCTGGGGAGACCTTAGGAAACTTACAATCATGGCAGAAGAAGAGGAGGCATGTCTTACATGACAGCAGGCAACAGGGAGAGTGTCCCAGAGCAGGGAAAACTGCCTTATAAAACCATCATAAGAACTCACTCACTATCACGAGAACAGCATGAGGAAACCACCTCCATGATCCAATAACCTCCCACTGGGTCCCTCCCTTGATACATGGGAATCATGGGGATTACGATTCAAGATGAGATTTTGGTGGGGACACAGCCAAACCATATCAGTCTCTCTCTCTCCTTTACTGTCTCTGTCTCTCTTTTTCTGATATATTAACCAGCCCTGATGTCTATGGCATAGGGTCATGTTGACAACCTGTTTCACCTTGACATTCTCCCCTAGGTTAACGCTTGTTGGATCTACTCCTCTGGCCCATCCTATAATGCTGGTCCTCCACAGATTCTTGATCTTCTTAGGCCATACCCCCATCTACTTCCATGGTTTTGTTCCAATCCATGCACCAGCAGCATATGGATATGGCTGTGAATTGAGGCAATCCTTTTCTGCTGCACTCCAGTCCTATGTATCCAACACCTAGATGTCTCCTCTGAAGTGTGCACAGGAGGCCAAGTGATATACAGGGAAAGAGCAGGGATTCTGGATGCAGACTGCCTGTGTTCAAAATGCCCTCTGTCATTTCCTGGCTGTGCAACATTAGGCAAATTACTTAACCTCTCTGGGTTTCAGTTTCCTCTTCTGGGAACTTGAAATAAAAATATTACCTATTCTAACTGGTTGTTAGGTACAATTATTATATGTAAATTATATGTAAAGTGCTGAGACCAGCTCATGGCATATGGTAAGGTACATATAAAATATAAGCTACTGTAGTAATGATTATTTCAGACAAGGGATTTGCAAACAAATGTATCTGGTCTTCTAAACCAGGAATATGTAAGTCATTTTTCACTTCTCTCTCTTTGGAGTCATTAAATACAGTTGATTATACTTCCTATTTCTCATATCAGCTGCTCCTCGCCATCACCTGCCATTCTCATAGGCTCTCTGTTTACGCTCTTGCCATCTCATCTGGAATATTGCAATAGATTCTTAACTAGTTGTGTTTTCTATTTTCCTCTCCCTTTAAAAATCCTCCTTTGCAGTGAAAACTCAGCCATAGTAAAAAAAAAAAAAATGATGGCAATGATGATAATACTAATAGCTTCTTTTCAGGCATTATCTCATTTAAGCCTTACAACAAATTGATGACATAGATACACTTACTAAATTGTTCTATGAAACTGAGAAAACTCAGACTGAGAGGTTAAGGAACCTGCCCAAAGCACAGAGCTGAGACCCGACAGGTCTAGAAGATCAATGCCTGCTGTCTAATACCAGAACCTGCACTCCCAGCCTCTGCTAACTGCAGGCCTGTTCCTTCCAGCCATTCTCCAGTTACTGATTTCCTGCAGGTGAAACTGTGCTTTCCACAGGGTCCTTTGCCAGCTCATCCAGGAAAACTTCCCCAGCCTCACGTCAAAATCACATCTTCATAATCCTCACTTTGCACTTTACTCTTCAGCAATAACATACTACATGCGGTTCCCAAACACTTCAAGGTGTTTTTCTCCTTCATGACTTTGCAAAAGTTCTTTTCTGTTCCTCCATTTGTTAACCTTGAAAATAACCACTGAGAAAATGTAGATTTTATGTCCCCTCTCTGGCCCTCTGACAGGCAAGCATTCCCACCTTTCTTCCGTGCTTCTTTTATTAATGCATTCTATTTTTTTTTTTTTTTTTGAGATGGAGTTTCGCTCTTGTTACCCAGGCTAGAGTGCAATGGTGCGATCTCAGCTCACCACAACCTCTGCCTCCTGGGTTCAGGCAATTTTCCTGCCTCAGCCTCCTGAGTAGCTGGGATTACAGGCACGCGCCACCATGCCCAGCTAATTTTTTGTATTTTTAGTAGAGACGGGGTTTCACCATGTTGACCAAGATGTTCTCGATCTCTTGACCTCGTGATCCACCCACCTTGGCCTCCCAAAGTGCTGGGATTACAGGCATGAGCCACCGTGCCCGGCCAATGCATTCTATTTTCACTGGTTTACATACTACATCTATCTACATTAGTAGACTGAGAGCTTTCTGAGGGTGAGGATTGTGTTCTCATTGTATTCCTAGCACAGTCTTAACATTTAATAAATATTTGTTGAGTTAAATTTATTTCAAAATAGTTGGCCTGATATAGACAGAGACCATGTTCAGATGGTATCCCTTTTAGTCCTTCTCTTCCTAACCTTATCCCCACTGACCATTTAGGGCCTGAGTATCCTTCCCTGGGAGGCCACTCATTTCATCTTCATGTTCTGCTCTCTAACCACCATTTCTGTTTCAATAATCTCTCCTATTCACCCATGGCTCCATCCTGCCATTTGATAATCTCAATCTCTTTTCTGCAAGGAATGAGGCTGAAGCCCACAAACAAGCCAATGAGAGACCTGGCCTGCGGCCTCTATCACACCACAGAAAGGCCTGGGAAACCCAGCTGGGGCCCGGACACCCAGGAGAGACGGCTAGTTGTCAGATCAGACATGAGTAGAATCTACCAGGCAGGTACATACAGAAGGTGTTCAGAAAAGAGCTTGTCCAGACACATGATTTAGAGTTACAAGCATTCAAATCATAATGGAAGCCAAGGAGGAAAAGAGCTTAAGAAGGGGCAGGAGTCCTCAAAAGAGACTGAGCAAGGGTGGCTGGTGCAGTAGGGAACAAACAAGAATAGTGGGAAAAGGTCATTAGGCAGAGGTGATATCCTGACTGAACAAGAAGGAGAACCAAATTGTTAGTCACCGATGTGGAGGATTCACATGTTTCTTATGTCTCAACATTCTAATGTGACTGCCAGGGATAGAGCTATTGTGACTCACAGCAGATGACCCAACAAATATCATCATTCTAGTGACAATAAAACTCACTGAAAGAAGTCTTTTTGCTTTATCTATACATTGCATGACAGCCTTTAACATGCATAATTAGCAATCAATATTCTGTGCTGAAGTAGCTAAGGAGGAAATGAACAAACATTTTGAAAAGCCCTCAGCCCCTGTATGAGTCAGGGTTGTCTAGACGAACAGAACTAAAGGAATACACACACACACACACACACACACACACACACGTGAGTTTCTTAAGTATTAACTCACATGATCACAAGGTCCCACAATAAGCCATCTATAGGCTGAGGAGCAAGGAGAGCCAGACCGAGTTCCAAAACTGAAGAACTTGGAGTCTGATGTTCCAGGGCAGGAAGCATCCAGCATGGGAGAAGGATGTAGGCTGGGAGACTAGACCAGTCTCTCTTTACACATTTTTCTACCTGCTTATATTCTGGCCCTGCTGGCAGCTGATTAGCTTGTGCCAACCCAGATTAAGGGTGTGTCTGCCTTTCCCAGCCCACTGACTCACATGTTAATCTCCATTGGCAACACCCCAACAGACACACCCAGGATCAATACTTTGCAGCCTTCAATCCAATCAAGTGGACACTCAGATCATAGCCCCTGAATTGTGCCCTTTTCTACTGCCTGCTGGTAGATTACACTCTCTGCAGGGCCTTTAAATGTTCTTTCTTTTATTTTCTTTTACAGACTTGCAGGATTCCAGCTCCTCAAGCCCTTCACACTCCACAATATTCCCCCACTCAGTCAACATTCTCAGTGAAGGTAAACAATAGACTCAGGCAGCTATTGCAACTCTTCCAATGAGATATTTTCAGATGTGTGTGCGTGCTATACAAAGGTTTGAAATGGTCATGGAAATGGTAATTTTAATTGTGCAATAATTTTGGAAAGCAACTTGACAACATATGTCAAAAACTTTAAGATGATCATACACTTTTTCTGAGTAACTCTACTTTGAGGACTCATGTTAATCATGTTAATAATCAGAAACAATGGAAACAGGCTTTAGTCACAAAGATCTTCATCACAGAATTACTCAAAATAGTCAATAACAAAACCTTAATGTCTGAAATAGGAGACTAAGTTAATTATAGTGTCTACTACCCATGTCAATAAGGGGTTTTCGGAGGCATAACAAATTGTGTTTCACATCAGTTCAATTCAACAAACTTGTATGAACTGCTTTAAATCCCCACCATCATCTTAGCAGCTCAAAGCTTAGTGTTCAGTGTTAAATTAAGTTCAGCCTACAGCCGCCTCCTTCCATCTCTCAAGCCTGGCCTGAAGCTTTCTCTGTATATGGTAAACTGTAACTTACTAATGTGGGAACGGGAGGTTTCTATACCTGACTTCTGTTTTCTCTAAGTCACTTTCCTTTTTCTGTTCATAGATCTTCAACCATGTGGTAGCACTGGAGTCTCTCGGAGCCTACTCTGGTTTAGGGGCTTCCCGATTCACAAATCATTCTTTGCTCAACTGAACTCTGTTAAATTTAATTTGGCTTAAGATTTTTCTTTTAACATCAGACACATACAAAAGAATATCTGAAATAGAATGGAAGTGCCCCAAAAGCCCAGAGGTGACTCAGCTACCCCAGGAGGGGAAAAAGAGGGAGGAAAGATGAGAAGGAGTACCAAGGAACACTCAGTTTGTAACTGCTGGTAGCATCCTAATTTTGTCATATCCCTTAAACCAATAACATTAACGCAGCAAATAGTTTATTGGGGAAAATCCAGTGTGCATAGAAAGGTTTCTATTTGATTTCTGAAATAAACAATGATTAAGGTGAAATCTAGGGATGAGGAGGAGTTAACAACAGAACAGGAGTGGGATCGGGAAGAGCATTCAAGGTGAAAGGACTGGCCTGGGCAAAGGCCCACAGAAGCAGATGAGAAAATGAGATGTCAGGGGTACCAAAATTAGTCAAAATGGCTGGAGCACAGAATTTCACAAACTGTCGGAGTCAAGAGCCTGAAGATGGAGGTACACAGGGCCTAAAGCTTCCTGAAAGACATATGGAGCCTGGATTTTATTTTGAGAATAACGGGAAAGCACCAGAAGTGTTTGTGTGAGGAACTGACCTGCACAATTTATTACTCACAATAGGGGAAGAGCAGCTTTAGGGAAAAAAAGGATGAGTCTGGTTTTGGCCACGTTGAGTAGAATCCACGAGACACGCAGACATAGGAGGTGTTCAGAAGAGAGTTTGGTCAGACACAAGGATTTGGAGTTAAAAGCATTCCCATTGTAATGGAGGCTAAAAGACAAATAAGCTTAAGAGGTGGCCAGAGTCCTCAAAGGACACTAAACCAGGGTGGCCAGAGCAGCAGGACAAACAGGAAAAGCGTGGCATTGCAAAACACCGGAAAAAATACGTTTCAAGAAGTGGGTGATTGTGCTGAGAGTTACTAAGGGATCAAGCAAGATAAGGACTTACAACATTCTAAGGAAATTAGCAGCAAGAGCATCCATGAGCCAAGCAAGAGGAGTTTTGGCAGAATGTGGAAAACAGAAGCCAAATAGCAGAGCACTGTGGCATGTGGATGTCATGGAAGCAGGAGGGAAGCACTAAGGCAGCAATGCAAAAGACAAAAACGAAAACAAACAAACAAAAAGCTGTCCTGTCAATGGGGTGATTCTACCGTACTTTTTTTTCCCTTTCAGATGGAAGATGCTGGTGTTCAGGTGTTCCGTGATTGGGTGATGATGGAAATGATCTATTAAGGAGAGTGGAGTTGGTTAAGGGTCAAGGTGAAAGAAGGGGTAATTGATATAATGAGGTTCTTTGGGGTGTTGGAAAGGAACAGGATGCAGAAGTTTCATCGGAGAAAGGATCTTTCTGTTGGGATTTCACTCTGAAAGAAATGATGGGGTGGATGGAGAACATGTAGTTTGTAGGTTTGGAATTTGGAAGCTGGGGATAAATCCATCGGGTGGCTTTTATTTTCAATAAGCAGTAGAAGGCACAGCATGTGCCAAGAGTGTATGAGAGGAGGTGGGGAAGGTGACTGAGGGAAAAGGAAGTTTGCAGTAACTGTTTGCAAATTGGGAGGATTATTTAGGACCAGAGGAGAAGGCAGAGTCATCCAAATCATGATACCTATCAGTATAGTTGTGTGACTTTTTCCCAGCAGAGCCAACTATTTCCCAGTTTTTCACTTTGAAATATGTATATTTAAGCAAATTCAATGAACTTTATTCCATGTACCCAAATGCAACTGTGACACGGTAAAAGCCCCATAAAACTGAAAACCTCAACCATACCTCGGCTTTCTATTGAAACTGCTCTCTGTAACCCAAATGTGACAGGCAGGCAGTCCAAACCCATGGCATCGTGGCCCCTGAGACTTGTAATAAGTAATTAAGGACTGTAATTTCCGCCCTACCCAGACAATGTGTAAACAAATGCTAATCTTGACTTTTGTGAGCCACTTAAGTAACCATCAGAACGTCAAAAGTCCCCTGGCCCTCGGAGTGTCCCGAGCCCCTCACCCTCATGTCTGCCCAGGAAGTCATTTACAGAATCCACTAGCCCTCAGAACGTCTAAGCCCCTCATCCCCACCCCCGCCCCTCACCCTCACCCCCGAGGTGGTTTTAGGGGTATCAAAGGTCTTGACACCCTCTTTTCAGGGCCACGGGTTGGAGAGACGTGAGTCCTCTGTGGCCGCCGGCAATAAAGACCCTGCAATTTGGCATACTTTTGTCTCGGTGTTGACTTTCTATGCTCGGGCCAGTACAACACAACTTTTGAAGGATTTACCATAGGGAGATCCAAGCCCTCCAGGAAACTTTATTTCTCGGTGTCCTAGATGGTGGAGAAGCATGGTAGAAGCTCAGGTAGGAAAAAGAAGGGCGTAGCTGGGAAAAAAAGTCCAGTACATAGCAATTGTTTACATTCATTAAACATTATCTAAATCTTCTTCAGTTCAAAAGGTATTTTGAAATACATTATTAATTCACCTCATCCTCCCAAAAATTTGCTCAAAATCAAAAACCAGTGGGACCATGTTAAGACCAGGCTATCCTCCAGATTTTCCAAACTTAGAGCACTTCTCTTTTTAGGATTCCATGGGCCCCTCTGATCCTGCCAAACAGTGCTGACATGGTAACCACAGAAGGAATGTATAGCGTCTGACCCAAGGATTACTCTGCAGTGAGGGTCCAGGATCTTTCCTTACAGATACTTGCAAGCTCACTCTAAACACATATACACACCTTGTGTTCAACAACAAAAACTAAAGGGAAGTGTCGTGTGGTTGATTTGCAGACTTGATGACTGTTCGGCTCAATGTCAAGAAGAAGAAAAGAGTTTCCTGCCTTTTCTGGAGTAAGTGATTTCTTGACCTAGAGAGTTATAGTAACAGGAAACGTATATATTACAAGGAACCTATGCCCAATTAAACAAGCTCTGTTTAGCAAGCTGTCAGCTGGTATGAGTCCCTTACACAGGAGTACTACAAGCCCTCTTACTCCCCTTATGAGTTAACAGCCTTAATCTTGTCTCTTTTTGAATTTTATCACAAGACACTCATTTTGTCAAGTAGTTAACATTTCTCAGACTAACGTGAGGAAACCGAGGCTTCCAGTCTGAGATGAGGTCACTGGTTGATTGTACTTACCTTCCATAGTTTTTGCCGTTATTGCCATTATCATCATCGTCATCAGCATCTCCCATGATTACTACCAAAATGCAGAGAGAGACTATGTTGAAGCAAAATTTCTGTTCCATGAGGATAAATAAAATGTTAGATATATTGGAACTTCACAAGCATTTAATGTTTGGTGCCTAGCAGTTACACAGGAAAAACTCAAATAGACATGCTTTGTTTCCATTACAAATATTTTTTGAAGCAGGCTTGGGTTTTAGAGTCAGGCAGACATAGAGTCAGATTCTAGTTACGTAACTCACTGGTTGCATGAACTCAGTTAAGTTACTTAATCTCTTTGAGCCTCAGCGGTCCCTTGTAAAACAGAAAAAATACCTCCTTTTCAGAGTTTTGAGAGGATTAAAAGATATACTGTAAGTGAAGCACATAATAGACATTTGATACTGGTTTCCAGCCCTCCCCGTCTTGAACCAGTCTCCCACTCCCTAGAATTATAAGTAGTCCTCCACAAAATCTTACTTACAAATCAAAATATTTGCTGAGAAAAAAACTGTGCAGGTGTCAATGTTATCTTTATTTTGTCCTGTGAAGACATGAAGGACCCGACAATCTTTCTCCAAAGTCTAATTAGGGTTTTTCCATTACTATATTTGTGTTTGTTTTTGCTTCCTTTGTTCAAATTAGGTTTTCAGGCAACCAAAATGAAACGCTCACCAAAAGTCATCCTTTGTAGCAGTAATGACACAAATTACATTGTTCTCTAGGGTTTAAAACTCCCAGCCATTAAGCTCAACTATGTGAGCTTGGCAAATCGTTTCAAAAGCAAAGCAGCTGTTTCCCTTCTGCTTGTTTTTTTAAAGCCTTGCTCAACAACTTAAACATGTACACACTCCCATCGTAGACCCAGGGAGAGCCCATAAAGTACTGTGAATTCCAGCATGAAGGCTACAACAATAAAAAGAGAATGAGGTGTTGACTTTTATTTTCGAGCAATTGCATGGTTTCTAGTTGTTAAACAATATATTGCTTATAATGCGTCAGGCACTATTCCAAGCACTTTAAATAACAGTTCGTTTAATCCTCATGAGGTAGGTGCTATTATTATTCCCACTTTCTCCAGGAAGGCTCCAGCATAGAACATTTAACCGCTTGCTCAAGATCATCCGTTTCCTAACAGGCAGAACTGCGTTCTGGACTCAGGAAGACTGGCTCCACAGTCCAAGTTTTAGGTAGGTTCTTCCACCTCTCACTGACTTATTCTATTTATTTCATTTATTTCTAATCATTTGCTCTATTTCTAATCATTTATGTTATGTCCCTCCATTGTTTCTGCTCATCACCCGAAGTCTTTCTTTTCATTACCCCCTTGTGACTACCACCGCTCTATACCAACAAAGATGCCATCCCCTAATTGGTCACCATCATGGAGCTGCCCACAGGTGTGCCTCTCCATAAGGTAGGGGAACCAGTGGGAAATTCAACTCCAGTCACTATTTCATAAGATGACATGCAGCTCAGATTAAGGGCAGTGTAGCTACCACTGGAGAGACCACAGACACAAGCCCAGTTTGTGCCTTTCACAGTGATCTTCTCAGGTCTCTGTACTGAGTCCTTTCTCCCTGTAACAGTCTCAACTCTCAAATCTGTTCAATGACATAAACAAATATGGGAATCTGTCACTACTGCTCCCGGTGAATTAGAGAGAAGTGATCCTCGGGCACCTGGCTAGTGACAGTATATGGATGTGGTCTGTGGGCAAAGAGAATACTCACTGTGGGTCCAGAATAACTTCAGAGATCAACTACTGATCCAGGCCCAATCACCAGCTCCTTTAAGAACAATGGTTCAATCCAACATAACATTGCCGGGGCCTGAAGACCCGGAAAGACCTGAAGACCAGGAAATATGCTAAGTACAGGGGAGGTGAAGAGAACTGTGGAAGCCCATCTGCAATAAATCAAGGATAGAGTTATGCCTGGTCCATTAGTGACAGAGAGAAGGGTCACCATTCTCAGCGGGGTCTTTCTTAGAGAGGGTACCTGAACATACTGCTTGGAATGTTGTAGGTACCTAATAAATACATATAGGAAGAGTGAATAAATGAATGCAAGTCTTAAAGAGTGGGCATTAATGAGGCATAAAAAAATACATCCCAGGCAAAGAGAATAGCACAGGGAACAGCAGCTTTGAGTGTCTCGGGAATTTCAGTTCAAATCCCAAGGAAGGAAATGGCAGGAGCTGCAGTCAAAGAGTCAGGAGTTAAATCTTATTCCATCATAAGAAGCTCAAACCTGATCCAGCAGATCAGTGCCTCTCAAACTCCAGTATGTCTGTATTGGCCAGACAGATCTTTATTTTGAGATCTGCTGTGGATTCAGAATGTCTGGGCTGGGACCCGAGTTTCTCTGGTTCCAGCAAGCTCCCAGGTGACACTGCTGCAGCTGTTCCATGGACCATACTTTGAGTGGGGAGACATTAGGAGCTGATGAAAGCACTGATAGATTCCAGAAAGAAGAATGACATGTGTTTGGCCCCCGGCCTCTGATAGATAGTTGAGAAACGTATTAAAATAAGAACAGTGAAGTATATGAGGATATGAACTATGATTAATTGAAGTTTACTCTATTTCACAAAGGAAATGAAACAAGCATTTACTGAAAAACCTCCACATTCTGGTCACTGCACTAGGCACATGGGAAACATTATCTCCCCTAATAATAGAAACTAAAGCCATAGCCCCAACTGTACCACTTTGAACTAAATGACCAGTATAACCAAACAACTCTTTTGAGTAATTTTTAAATAGAATTCACCATATTAAAATTAACTATCAACCAGTAACTTTTAGTGTTGTGTAAACTGTGAATATTGTGTATTTTAATAACAGAATAGCATTTTTCTGTTGGATCATTAGTCCAGGCACATTTTTAAAGCTGACTAAGCCACTGCTCACCTATTTGATGTTCATCATTGGATAAGAAATCAGCTTAAACTTCCATATTTGAGTCACCATTACACAACTACCAACTCCTGAAATAGGCCTAGATTTCTCATTTTAAATTCAGAATGAACACTCTGCTTCCTGTCTACCTAGCTTTGGATGTTTCTGGTTAGTGACACCACCTAAAGCTTGGTTATTTGTAACTACTATTTTCTGAGAGAGAAAGACAGCTAGAGTGGGAAGGGAAAAAGAGAAGAGCCAAGTGGAGAAGTCCAGCTGAGCTGCCTGGTCCCTGTTCCCACAGAGACTGCCGAAATAGACCTAGGCTGTGTCCTGCTGGATGGGTTCCTCCTGTGCTTACTGTCCTCCCCCCATCAGCCTGGCCCACTCATCAGTTCCTCCCAGCTTGTTTACACCGGGAACAAAGGCTGCAGGGGTGCAACAGAGGAAATTAAAACTGAGGTAGCAGAAAAGAAAAAAGCATAAATGCATGAAGAGAGTCTGATGCAGTGGTGCTGACTCCTTTCTATGGAAACCAAGCATTTCCCCAGAAGAGTTCAGAAGGTATATAAACACAAGCCTGCGGATCTTCTGGAAAGTGGATCTCACCTCTGTGCTATTACACTCTGTAGAATAGAGAAGACTTGAGAAAGGAAGGGAAGAGGGGAAGAGCAGGTTCTCGGGCATTGGGCAGACAGGGGTTCCAATCTCAGAGTTGTCACTGAGACATGTGCCTTGGTATTTGGCCATAACTAAACATGGAACCTCTTTCCTCATCTTTAAATTAAGCTGATATCATGGAAGACATGTTTGATCGTGGCCTTTGCCGCATCTTTTCCTTGCTTCATCTGGTAACAGCATCCCTCGTTTCCCTTTGTTGGGTAAAGCCTACCCCCATTTCATGCAATCTTTGGGGGGACTGTCAATCAAAGTACTCTAAGGGCTAAGAGTGACTCAGGCCAGGACAATCAGACACCACTCCCTACCCCACCACCCCCATCATTTGTAGGTCTGAGCCAGGGTCCAAAAGCCATTGGAGACTGCCTAAACAAATTTTCCATTTGTTCCTGTTTATAAAACCCACCAAATTGCTTTGGCTCTTGTTCTTCCTTGCAGCCTGTATGTCTAACTGTCCCCCCTTCCTTGTAAGCCTAACACATTCCAAATTCCTTTTTTGGTAAAATTAACTAGTGCTGGTTTCTGTTGCTTACCTCAAAGAATGCTAAACGATGTAAATACTTTCCCCCTTAGGGCTGCTGCGAGGATTGGCAATAACAAATGCAGTTCTAGGTTTAAAGTAAAGGCTCAATATCTGGTCCAAAGAATTACTATTAAGGGATAACTTAAGGTTATATCTCCAGCAATCAATCCATAGAAATTCACAAAGCTAATGAGTCTCTGCCACAGGCTGTTAAGCAATAGGGTGCCCCTTCCACAGCTCTTTCTATGGTCTAATTAAACAAGAGGTGCTGAACACTTCCCAGATCAAAAGCACTTTCCCCTACTGGCTTGCCATCCTGTCTGCAATTCCCATTATTCCTTTCATTTGTCAAGTTTTATCATAAAGAAACACTTAAAGCACTTAAATGTGTGCTTCCTTGAATCAGTATGTTACTGGTTTTGTGTGTGTGTACGTGTGTGTGTAAACACTTATGTGTTCCTTTTCCTGAATGGGGTTTGTGTGTGCGTGTGTGTATAAATGCTTATGTGTTCCTTTCCCTGAATGGGGTGTATGGGTGCGTGTGTGTATAAACGCTTACGTGTTCCTTTCCCTGAATGTAGAGAACACGTTTGACCAAATTGTTTAAACTCACTATGCCTAGTATGTTACTTGTGATCAAGGTTTATAATCGTAAGCATGCATTTTGTTAAGAAATTTTGTGCTTTTCAAAAAAATAGATTTTATTGCATAGTGTAGTTTTAGGTTCACAGCAAAATTGGGCAGAAAGTACAGAGTGTGTATTTGTCTGTTTGCTTCTTTTTTTGAGACAGGATTTTGCTCTGTTGTCCAGCCTGGAGTGCAATGGTACAATCATGGTTCACTACAGCTTCAACCTCCTGAGCTAAAGTGATCCTTTTCCTTCAGCCTCCTAAGTAGCTGGAACTTCAGGTGTGCACACCACTCAGCTAATTTTTAAAAATGTTTGTATACATGGGGTCTTGCCATGTTGCCCAGGCTGGTCTCAACCTCCTGGCCTCAAGTGATCCTCCCATCTCAGCTTCCCAAAGTGCTGAGATTACAGGCCTGAGCCACCACTTCCAGCCAATGTGTGTGTATTTTAACTATTTTATTATGACTTCAATTTTTTCTTTGTGATAAAACATAATTATGCAGTCCTATAAAACCTTAAATCAATATACTCTATTGAACATAGGAGGAAATGCCAGGACATTTTCTTGATAAAAGGTGATGCTTGCCTCAAGATGTGGACACCTGTATCCCACCCCTGCAAAGCTTTGTGTTCCCTCCAAGTGAAGCAAGAGTCTTAGCCTCTTGCTCTGAGCACTGCCTGTTTATTATTTACTTGTTAGACTCCAGAAGCACATATCCTCAAGGCCATATGCAAAGGACTCTGTCGTGTTGGTTATGAGCATCCTTCTAACCTTGCAATAGCCTGAACAGTGGAGTGTGGAGGGCAGCAGTAAACAATAAGGCAGGTGAGAGACACAATCAAGGAGCTTCTCTGTGTTCTGTCTGCATGCCACTTAGCAGAATACCCCTCAGAGCAGTCTTCCATGGAACTAGGGCGTCTTTTTGTTTTCCTTCTAGAAGAAAATAATTTCATCCAGAAATCAGAAAAATAGCACAGAAAATGAAGCTGAAATTTTAGGCCCCTACTGTAAATCACAGCTCACTGTAGGGCAGACACTTAAGACATGCTGCTTCCACCCACACCAGAGATCTGTTGCATGCTCCCCATGAGCCAGGTTTACCAGCCCCGAGCATTACCCTCTACAGCGAAGGAAGTCCGACTGGTATCCTCATTTTCCAGCTGAGGAAACTGAGGTTCAGAAACACTCAGAAACTCATCAAGCAAGTGGCAGGACTAATATTTGAACATCAGAGTCCAAGCTTTCATTATTAGTATCTTAGTCCAGGTTGCTCTAACACAATACTTCAGTGGGTGACTTAAACAACAGACCTTTATTTCTCACAGTTGTGTGGGCTGGGTAATCCAAGATTGAGGTACAGCCAGACTGGGTTCCTGGTGAGGGCCCTCTCCCTGGCTTGCATCTTACTTTGTGCTTACCTGGCCTTTCCTTTGTGACAACTTGTAGAGGAAATATCAGACATATACAGCTAAAAAGGGTAGCCAAGCTTTTTTAAGTCATCTCTCTATACGGAATATAAACATAGTTTTGTAGCTGTTTTATTTATTTATTTATATAATTTTTTTTTGAGACGGAGTTTCGCTCATTACCCAGGCTGGAGTGCAATGGCACGATCTCGGCTCACCGCAACCTCCGCCTCCTGGGCTCAGGCAATTCTCCTGCCTCAGCCTCCTGAGTAGCTGGGATTACAGGCATGCGCCACCATGCCCAGCTAATTTTTTGTATTTATAGTAGAGACGGGGTTTCACCATGTTGACCAGGATGGTCTCGATCTCTTGACCTTGTGATCCACCCACCTTGGCCTCCCAAAGTGCTGGGATTACAGGCGTGCTGTTTTATTTTTTACTGGCGATTATAAACAAAAGCAGCCAGTAAAGCAATGGATTCTCATTTAATTGACTATAAAAGTTTTGGAAGCACTATTTTATGCTAAGGGAAGGCCTAGGCACTTGAATTCCTGTCCCCAAGGAGCTTTGTAAGCAAAATGTGGACAATTAAAATATAGCTTTATAATAAAGATATGAATATGATACAAATCGCCATTGCTTTTGTGGGGGGTGAAGATGGAATGGGTGCCATAGTGAAATCTTTTTACATATTATAAAATACTTCACTAAGAGCCTGTCTTTTCCTGCACCTTGACTACTTCCTGCTCAAAAGCAGCATAAGAATTTCCTATTTCTGCCAGCAAGTCAGGTGAGAAGAGAAAATGAGTTTATGAAAATAGGCACGTGTCAACGCTCTCTAAAAAGACATGTCTGTATGCTGCATCAGCACACACCATCATCAAAACGTAAAGCAAAGCAGGATCAATTTCATTTTAGTGTCTTCAATTTTAAGGACTACAGAAAAACAACAACAAAAACCTCACATGTATTTTATCATGGAAGTCTGCCAACCTTCTACCAACAATAGTATTCTCATTTTACAGATGCTGAATCTGAGCATCAGAGAAGTTAAGGCACTCAGTAAAGACTTCAATGACTTTTCCAGCTAACACAGGGGAAGAATTGGAACTTAAAGCCAGGTCTTCTGTCTCCAAATCCCGTGACCTTTTAGAGCATGTTTGAAGAAGAAAGTTCACACATTTTCATCTGAGATACCTACTACTCTTTCTAAAATTAAATGCGGACTCTCGGCTACTTCTATGAGCCAGTAAGAGTGCTGTGGTGGCTCTGTGACATGTCAGCTTGGCTAGATGAACTTCATTTTTCAGAAATCTCTCCTTGTATGTTTCTGGTTTGGGTGGGCCATAAGAAACATTCTGTGAGAGACTTGGAGGTAGAAGGGAGGAACAGTCACTCTGTAGCTCACTCATATTGTTACTGATCTGCTGACTCCCCTCAGTGCTCTGAAGCAGCAGCTGAGGCTGCAGCTCTCCTCCTTTCTCATGGATCCTTTTCCAGCTTCTATGATGCCTTGACCACATGTGTGTTTATTTCCCAGGGTCCCAGGTTCTGCAGGCTATCCTTGTCACTATGGACCAAGTAATCAAAAATGGCATAGATTTGGGTCCATCTGCGTGGGACTCATGCCGTGAATTCTAACTTGTTCTTGATCCCTCTTTACATCCATCTTCACTTTCTGGCATGTGGACTTTGAGCTGCAGTGCCAGAGGCAAAGGCTACAGCCATCCAGAGGCTGCTTAAGCTATTCCCATGATTGTAGAAGGTCAAATCCCTGTAACAAAATCAGAGAGATCATAGACAGAGAGAGGATAGATGGATAGATAAGACAGAGAGTTAAAAGGCTGAACTGTATCTCCCCAAAATTTATATGTTGAAGCCCCAGACCCTAGTTACCTTAGAATGTGACTCTATTTGGAGACCCATCCTTTAAAGAGCTGATTAAGTTAAAATGAGGCTGTCGGTGTTTAAACTGACAGATGTCCTTAAAAGAAAATCATACAGTTGACCCTCAAACAACACAAGTTTGAATGGTGCAGGTTCACTTACACATTAATTTTTTTCAATAAAAGTTATAATGAGTGTGTCTGCCTTTCCTGCTTCCCCTTCCACTTTCTTCACCTCTTCTACCTTCGCCACCCTTGAGACAGCAAAACCAATTCCTCCTCTTCCTCCTCCTCCTCAGCCTACTCAATGAGAAGATAATGATAATCCACTTCCACTTAACGAATAGGAAATATATTTTCTCTTCCTTATCTTAATAACATTTTCTTTTATCTTACTTGATTGTAAGAATAGAGTATATACATATACATATAACATACAAAATATGTGTTGACTGTTAATGTTATTGGTGAGACTTCTGGACCAACAGTAGACTATTAGTAGTTAAGTTTGGGGGAGTCAAAAGGAATAAATAAATTTTCAACTGTGCCGGGAGGTCAATGCCCCTAACCCCCACATTGTTCAAGAGTCAGGAAATACACAGAGAGGCACAATGAGAAGGTGGCCATCTGCAGCCAGGAAGAAAGGCCTCAGAAGAAACCAAACCTGTCGATATGCTGATCTGAATTTCAGCCTCCAGAACTTCAGGAAATTAAACTTATATTCTTTTTTTTTTTGAGACGGAGTTTCACTCTTTTTACCCAGGCTGGAGTGCAATGGTGCGATCTCGGCTCACCGCAACCTCTACCTCCTGGGTTCAGGCAATTCTCCTGCCTCATCCTCCTGAGTAGCTGGGATTACAGGCATTTGCCACCATGCCCAGCTAATTTTTTGTATTTCTAGTAGAGACGGGGTTTCACCATGTTGACCAGGATGGTCTCGATCTCTTGACCTCGTGATCCACCCACCTTGGCCTCCCAAAGTGCTGGGATTACAGGCTTGAGCCACCGCTCCCGGCCTAACTTATATTCTTTAAGCCACTCAGTGTGTGGTACTTTGTTATGGCAGTCGAAGGAAGGAAGGAAGGAAAGGCGGGGAAGGAGGGAGGGAGGGAGAAGGTGGGAAGGAGACAAGGAGGGGAAGAAGGGAGGTGGGAAGAATGGAGGGAGGGAGGGCGGGAAGGGGACATGTACATGTGTATATATTAGTGTTCTTCAGAGAAACAGAATAGGACATGTATTACGTATGTATGTGTAGACATACAGAGAACTTGATTTTAAAGTAGTTAATGCAGTTAAGGTGGGGCTTTGGTGCTGGCAAATCTGAAATCCGTAGGAAGGGCCAGCAGGTTGGAAATTCCACCAAGAGTTGATGCAGTTTTGAGTCTGGAGGCAGAATTCCTTCCTGTTTGGGGGGACCTCAGTCTTTTTGAAGAGCTCCCTACTCACCTTATGGAGGGTAATCTGCTTTACTCAAAGACTCCTGATTTGAATATTAATCAAATCTAAAAAAAATCTCTGCTGCAATATCTAGACAGATGTTTCACCAAACAACTGGATATCACAGTCTAATCAAGTTTGACACATAAAATTAACCATCACTGTGTGTGTGTGCACCCTAGCAGTCCTGCTCGTCTGATGGAACATTGACAGACTGATATAGGTGCCCTCATCTTATTTTTAAAAAGCTGCAAAGTTTCTGCATGCTCTCCTTTGATAATTACCTCTATTCCTCACTCCATTAAAACGACATCCAACAGCTGAGAGAAAATGCAGTGCTTGTGTTAACTGCCCTGACAGGCCTCAGGCCTATCTGTGGGGGCCAAGATAGAAGCTCCCCCCAGGTCCTCATATTTAAAACAGTGGTCCTCAAACTTTAGCATGAGGCTGGGCTAAGCTCCATCAGAACCCTTGGGGAGTCCATTAAAACACAGATTTCTGGGTCCCACTCCCAGAGTTACTGAATCCATAGGTTATATGGTTTGGCTCTGTGTCCCCACCCAAATCTCATCTCAAATTATAATTCCCACATTTTGAGGGAGAGACCTGGTGGAAGGTGATGGGATCATGGGGTCGGTTTCCCCCGTGCTGTTCTCATGATAGTGAGAGACCTCCTTGAGATCTCATAGTTCCCCCTGCTCTCTCTCTCGCTCTCTCCTGCTGCCTTGTGAAGAAGGTGCCTGCTTCCCCTTTACCTTCTGCCATGATTGTAAGTTTCCTGAGGCCTCTCCAGCCATGCATAACTGTGAATCAATTAAACCTCCTCTCTTTATAAACTACCCAGTCTCAGGCAGTTCTTTATAGGAGTCTTAGAATGGACTAATATAGTAGGATTGGGGTAGGGACTGATATTTTGCATTTTCTAGTGAGTTTTCAGATTTTATCTGTGATACTCATTCTGGAACCACACTTTAAGAACCACTTCTGTGGGGTATCTCTAAGCCTGGGTCAGTGAACTGACCTAGCACTGCTGTCAGAACAAATGCCAAGAAAGCGAACCCCAGGTAGAAGGAATACTAATGTTCCACCTTAATTTGGAAACACTCTGAACTCTCACTCTGAGAACTTGTATTCTATAAATCTCCTAGGTATAGGCCCAAGAGAACTAAGCATGTTTATCCACCAAAATACATATACAACAATGTCCATAGCAGATTTTTTTTCACAGTACCCTAAAACTGTACACAACATAAATATCCATTAACAGGAGAATGGATATAATATAATGTTGTGTCAGAAATAAAAAAGAATGATTTTGTATATATGTAACATCATGAACAAATCATGTATACTCCATTGAGCAAAATAAGCTAGACATAATAGTATATACTGTGCAAGTCCACTTAATAAAGTCACAACAAGCAAAACTAATTGATGTGGTGGAGACAGGATTGACTGGGATGGAGATGGGGAACCAGTGGGGATGCTGGAAACGTCCCTGATCTCATTCTGAGTTTTAGTTACCTAGCTAAGTTATTTTATTTTTATTTTGTTTTATTTTTTGAGATGGAGTCTCACTGTCACCCAGGCTGGAGTGCAGAGGCACGATGCACTCTCGGCTCACAGCAATTTCCACCTCCCAGTTCAAGCAATTCTCCAGTCTCAGCCTCCCAAGTAGTGGGGACTGCAGGCGCATGCCACCATTCCCAGCTAATTTTTGTGTTTTTAGTAAAGATGAGGTTTCACCATATTGGTCAGGCTGGTCTTGAACTCTTCAGGTGATCCACTGGCCTCAGCCTCCCAAAGTGCTGGGATTACACATGTGAGCCAGGACACCCAGCCGATAGCTAAGTTAGCCCTACCAGGACTGACTTTTCCATTAGGCACAGGAAGCTCAGTACACAGGGTCCACATGGGTCCCATGTGGATGAAAATGTTTTAATTTCTTCTAAAACCAGAAGAAAAATACACAGTCTAACCTCGATTATATTTTCTTTATGCCAACAGTCATAACATACAATTTTTAATACTTGTTATGGAGGAATGGCAACAGTGTCTACAATCTGCAAAAGTCATCAGGCAGCCCTGATATCACATTTAAAAGCACAGATATGCATATTTTTCTCAATAGATGTCACTGTAGAAAGCATTTAGGATTATTTTCTTATTTTGTCACCCAACCTGTTGTAGTCTTTACCAGCTTTCATTCCCTATGAAGAAGTTCTGAAAGGCTAAATGATTCCGCACATCTGTGTCAGATACAAGGAAGACAAAAAGCCGAGAGACAAGACAGGCTCCTCTATCTGAATGTGATTTAAACAGAAGGAGAGGGTAGGTCTGAGAGCCATCGGATTGAAGGAGTTCTGATGTAGGTCTTCCTGGAGAGGAAACTTCAGGAACACTAGAAAGATGGAGGCATGATGCATCTGCCACCTTTCTCTCTAGCCCCAGCCAGCGGCGATAACAGAAAGATGCCAGAGGCAAGAGAGATTCTTGGGTCAACCTTGTAGCTTTGCTCCAGGCTTTACTTTTTTTCAACTTTTATTTTAGGTTTGGGTCAACTCATGTCACAGGGGTGTGTTGTACAAATTATTTGATTACTCAGGTACTAAGCCTAGTATTCAAGTCATTTTTTCTGATCCACTCTCTCCTTCAACCCTCCACCCTCAAGTAGGTCCCAGTGTGTGTTGCTCCCCGATTTGTGTCCATGTGTTCTTATTATTTAGTTCCCAAGTGAGAATATATGGTATTTGGTTTTCTATTCCTCTGTTAGTTTGCTAAGGATAACAGCTTCCAGCTCCATTCATGTTGACATTAAGGACACCATCTCATTCTTTTTTTCTGGGCCATTCTTTGCATTTCCCAGTAACTGGATTGGGAAGTTGGAAAGACTGAAGGGAGAAGCCTAAGGGAAGACCTGTGTGCTTTACAGACCTGATCCCCCACTCAGAGTTGGGGCCCTCACTGAACACTCACCAGTGCCCAGCCCAATGCTCTTCTCTGTGGGCACACAGAGATTTATAAGACCCCTCAGAGTCCCTATCCTCGGAAGACTACAATTCAGTGGTGGAATGGTATACACAGGGGAGTGATCAAATGCTAAACTGGGCTTACTGGATGGATGCTTTGGGAAGAGAGAGATAAAAGCAGATTCCCTGCTAGATAGGATCCAGTTTCCTAGCTCTAAATTGAGGCCGGAGTTTATTCACTTTTTTGAATGAACCAAATTATTGCTCTTCTCTTCCTTTAAATAAGCTTCAAATTGCTATATCACAAGAATATTTTATTAGTGCTGTGGGGTTTGGGTTTCAATTAAAAATCCTCTGTCTCCAAGGACACGAAGCATTTTCTAATAACACTGAAGATTAGAGATAGTTAGAAGCTAAAGTACAGTTGGTCTGTACAACTGAAAATAGCCTTGGAGAGCATGCATGTACTTTTTAAACCCAACTGCATTGTTATAGAAAAGTTATTATCTGTTCGAGAAAGAATAAGAAAAATCATTGTCATGCCATAGCAACCAGACTGGTAAGTAATACAAAACAGGCTGAACTGATAAAAATATCTGTGAAAATGTCCAGATTGATGAAATATTCTAAAAATAAGTTTAACAAAATAGTGAACAAAATTAAATCGGCCTAATTTTCTATACATGCCATTTCATGTTTTATTTTTTTAAGCTAAAATATTCACTTTGAAAATGATTTTAGCACGACCATCTGGTAAAAAAGAAAGTGCAAAGCCCTAGATTTTGGACAATAGGAAGATACATCTGCAGATCTCGGGAGTAAAACTTCAACATTCTAAGGGCAAACAAATGCACACATAGCCCAGCGTCTAGAGCTGATCCTTCTTCATGCTAAATCTTCAAAGTAATAGCTTAGAAATACCTGCAGCCTTTACAATGAGTGCTAACTTCTTCCCACTGTTATTATTTACTTCTCTTTTCAGGATTTCAAGCAGATGAGCACTGTTGCCTTGCCAGCTTGCAGAGGAAACAGAATTTCCAATTATAAATTCTAACATTAGATGAGCAAAACCCTGATCCAACTCTAACAAGGAAATTGACGGTTTTATAACAGCAGTGTTTTAAGAGAGAAACTGCCAGCATTTGTTGGTATAGATTTAGA